TATGCCAACTGAGGGATTCTGGGAGTTGAAGTCCACATGTCTTAAAGTTGCCATGTTTGGAGGCGCCAGTCCTAAGGAAAATGTTCTCCCAAAGAATGGGCAAAATTGCCATGGAGTTGTGCTTCTTTACCTGGTGGCTTGGACTTTAGCCTGTCCAGGGCTAAAATTTTAAAGAGCTGGCTCTAGATTTGAACTTTTAAACCAGCTTTCAACCAAGATAACCAGATTTAAATAATTCTGGAGTGACTGTTACTCGTACTAACTTAAATCTGGCGTTCTCAACATACAGCCATTTGTTTAATGGCTGCTCAAACTTACAGTGGCACTGAACGATGTGACTTATGACCATTTCTTCACACTTAACGACCATAGCAGCATCCCCGTGGCCACGTGATCAAAATTCAAACGCTTGACAACTGGCTCATATTTATGACGGTTGTGATTTCCCAGAGTGTCACGTGATTCCCTTTTGCAAACATCTCACAAACCAAGTCAACGGGGAATCCAGATTCATTTAACGACCATGTTACTAATTTAACAACTGCAGTGGTTCGCTTAACAATGTGTCAGAAAGAAAAGTCGTAAAAAGGGGCAAAACTCACTTAAGAAATTTCTCACTTAACCACATCAGTTTTGGACTCAATGGAGGACTACCTGCATTTCATTTCAAGAGGATGTTCCCCCATTCGCTCCCCTTACCTACACCCAGGGGTGAAATCTACCTACATTTTTTGGCGAGGAAAAGAAGAAAAAGAAATCTCCCTCTGCCTCTGCCTTTGAGTAATTTTGCCTCGTTGCAGCATACAGCAAACAGCCTGCTTTACTTTCAGTTTCATTTTCAGCATAGCTTGATTAGCACAAGGAAAAAAAAAGATGCTCCAGCAATTTACCTCTTTGCAGCAAGCAGCAGAGCCCTGCGCAAAACAGCCGAGAGCAAATCAGCTGAGACTCGGGAGGCCGATCCAAACAACTTGTGCTAATTAGGTTGTACTGAAGCTGAAAGGAGCTATTTTTTTCTTGCTGTTTGCTTGCAAGGAGGTAACTGCTGGGAGGCAGAGGCCAAAGGGTGGGGGCCCGTGGGTGGGTGGGGTTACATTAGGTGTATAAGACGCACCTAAATTTTCACCCCCTTTTAGGGGGGGAAAAGCTGCGTTTTATACTCTGAAAAATATGGTACTCACCTTCCCAACCGGTTCGGAAGTGCACACACGTCACATGCACACGCAGACCCTCTGTGCATGTGCAAACCCTTCTGTGCATGCGCAGAGGGTAAAAAACAGGTTACTTCCTGGTTAAAACCAAAAGGTAATGACGATCGGATGCGTGGGCAGAGCCTCGCGCCGCCATCGCTACCGGTTCTCCGAACCACCGGCCGCCATCGCTACCTGTTCAGTCAAACCGGTCCAAACTGGGAGCATTTCACCCCTGCCCACACCCCACGCGGACTCCAATGTCTCGGCTGTGACAACCCTTTCCCTAACTTTCGTTCAGTGACAGGTCCCGCTATTTCCTTTAATCCAGGCCTGTCTTCTTTCAATGACAACCTGAATGCTGGCTTGAGCTTCATCTGACAACTGCATCTCAGGGACCTATTAAGACTTCAGAACAAAGGTGTGTGCATGTTTAATGCAAATCTTTGACCCCGTTTGGCTAATCCACCTCTCTCATTTTCTTCCCCCTGAAAGAGTCATTAATCAATCACGGCAAAGGGGACTTGACAAGAGCTCATCATGGTGTGTCTGCGTGCACAAACTCGCGCTCGCACATTCCTGAATACATTGTGAGACGAGGGGCGCCCCCTTCTGCTGCCCGTCTGCCGCCGAGGACTTGGATCGTTCCGTTAAGGCGCTGGATTTAATTGCAAGCCACTTCCTGCTGGCGGATTTTAAGGCTGAATAGATCAGGAGAAACTCCCAAAGGTGTTTTTTCAAGAGGCAACTGGACTTTCTGGATAAAAACACTTAAACACTCAAAGAGCCATTTGGACCCGTTTCCCACAGAAAAGAAAACACCGGGAGCCACAAAACCCTTCCTGTGCCTGACTATTTCTTGAGCGGCCACAAAACTAGCATATGTAGTTGAATTAAATGTTCTGTTTTCTTCTGAAACTTTTCTTTTCTTGGATTTATCAATGGTTGGCCTACCGGGGGTTGAAAAGCTCAATAAATCGCGTGCCGGCGGGTGTCGCACATTGGCGGTTGTGATGCATATTTTGAGTGACAGGGAGCCGCAGCAGAGGGGTGAAAGAGCCACATGCGGCTCCAGAGCTGCAGGTTGCTGACCCCTGCTTTAGGCAAGCAATAGGCCTCAATTTACAGCCACAATCGAGCCCAACATTTCTGTTGCTACATGGGACACTTGTTAAGTGAATCTTGCCACATTTTTGCTGGCCACAGTTGTTAAGCAAATCACTGCAGTTGTTAAGTTAGTAACACGGCTACCAGGTGAATCTGTCTTCCCCATGGACTTTGATTGTTGAAACGTCGCAAAATAGGATCACATGACCCCCCCGGGACAGTGCAACCATCATAAATACAAGCCAGTTGCCAAGCACCCAAATTCTTTTTTTTTTTAATAATCTTTATTTACATTTCAGTTAAAAAGAAAAGACAACACAACATAACAATACAACAATAAACATACGTACTTCCATATAGTACCTTAATGAACAAATATTCGGTACTATAACTCTAAATTATATTCCGGAGAAGACAGAACAGCTTATATACCTTAATACATCAGTTAGGTCTATCTGACGACACTTATCCTATATAATATAAATTTCTCATTTAATACCATTCCTCATCTAATGTGGATTATAGTTTCCTCTTTTCTAACCATTTATAAAATTTGTCCCAAGCTAAACCTACTTGTGTTTGCTCTCTATCCTGTAATTTTTTAGTTAGCATATCTGCTTCCGCACATTCTAAAAAAATTTTTTATAATAGCCTCCTCTGTTGGGATATTTTGATTTTTCCAGAGTTGAGCATACGCTGTAATGATATGTAGTGCCAAATACCGTAAGTCCCTTTTTATATTTTCCGGCTTAGAAACGAACAGGCATGTCTCTGGTCGCCAATCGATTTTTAACATTAAGATCTCATTGAGCCATTTTTTAATTTTCCCCCAAAATATCACTGCTGTCCCGGGCGCCCAAATTCTGATCAAGTGCGAAAACTGGTCATCAGTCACTGATGTTATAACTTTGAACAGTCAATAAATCAAAGGTTGTAAGACCAAAGCAATGATCTGCATGTATGGTAGATCATTGCTTTAGTCTGGCAAGATTTTGTCTGTAAGCAAGCAACAATAAAGGAACTCCTCAGAAGTCAGTCCACTTGTTTGTTCTTGGTTCCTGGGGCCTGACCCAGAGAGAAAGTTTGGGAACCCGACAATTTTGATGCCTACCATTTTCCGTGATGATCTTCGGGACCTCCTTGGCTGCTGGTGACAGGCACTTGATCTTGTTCCCCGACACCACGCCGTCCATTTCTGCCAAATCCCCAAAGGAGCAACTGACCCCGTTGGTTAGCTCAGGCACGTTGTAGGTCTCCAACACCAGCTGTGGGAGAGAAGGAAAAGAGGAGAAGAGGGTGATGAGAAAAGGTGGAAAGGACAGGATGCCCCAAAGTTACAAAAAGAAAGATGGAAGGTCCTGAAGTTGCCATCGCAACCAAAAAGGATATATATCCCAGGATGCTGGGAACATCAAATGACGTCTTTTGTCTTCCTCACAAAGATAACTGTCAGCGTCCCAGCACTGACATATATAATAAAGAGAGGAGAAGCCTGAACTTTTGCCTACTAAATCCCTCTGAAGATTCTGTCTCCTCGGAGATGGGAGGGGGGTGAGACATTCCTGTGATCTGACGAAGAAGGGGTCAGGAAAGTGACTTGGAAGATAGCCAATGAGAAGCAGAGAATTGGGGATCGGAAAGGGAGGGATTGGGGGGCAAAGGTCAGTACTGACCGCGAAAGAGTCAGGATCAGGTTGCTGTGCTCGAATAAAGAGAAAATTTCCTTAAAGATCGGCAGTTTGGAAATTCATTTATTTTGAGATAGCATCGAAACCTGACAATAACGACAACTGCACTGGTTAGTGTGTAGATCGACAATGAGAGACACAGGCCACTCGTTTGAAGACAGCAAAGTCCACATTTTGGACAGAGAAGACTGCTGGCTTGAAAGAGGGGTCAAAGAGGCCATCTATGTCAACATTGGCCTCTCTCAACAGAGGGGGGCGGGATATGACATCATCTACCTCCAGTCTACAACACAGTCCTTTCTGCAGTTCCAAGAAGCTTCCACACCTATTTGAACCACTCAGGTGACCCTGAAGACACAGATAAACCTCCAAGTGGCCTCAACGACCCTCTAAAAAAAAGTTCAGATGACCATCTGTCTGCAAGGCGTATCAATCCTTCCATTCCCCACCATCCAGTCAGAGCTGAGGAAGCTTCTCGGGTGAGAAGCGAAACTTCTTCAAAGACAAATCAGAAAGTCCAGTTGCCTCTTGAAAAAAGCACCTTTGGGATAACCATGAGCTGGATGACTGAGAATCTCCATAGACAACGAGACCATCGAAAGAGTAGAAGAATTCACCTTCCTGGGCTCTAAAAATCAACCAAGGTGGCGATTTTACGTCGTCGGTAAATCTAGCCTAATGAAAAGAAGGAACAGGGAGACATATGAAAGCACTGTTCCAGTATTTGAGGAGCTCCTACAGAGAGGAGGGAGTCCAGCTATTCTCCAAAGCACCAAAAGGCAAGACGAGAAATGCAACGATGGGTTTCACATTTTGTTGCTACCGGTTTGCCACAGGCACACACCTTCCTACCGGTTTGCCACGGGCACGCACCTTCCACGCATGGGCCCATTCTTCCGTGCACGAGCTCTGCTCGTGCACATGCATTCCACACATGCGCCCGTGCCTAAATAGGATGGCATAGAGCCGGGGAGGGTGGGCATGCTGATGATCTCCGCTACCAGTTCGACTGAACTGGTACGAACCGGCTGAATACCACCTCTGAATGGATGGAAACTAACCAAGGAGAGAAGCAACCTAGAACTAAGGAGGAATTTCCTAATGGTAAGAGCAATCAATGGCTTGCCTTCAGAAGATGTAGATTTTATTTTGATTGATTTATTTTTAAATTTGTATACCGCCCTTCTCCCTGAGGACTCAGGGCGGTGAACAGCCAAGTAAAAACATAAACTACAAACATTAAAATACAATTTAAAAGATATATATAAATTTGGCCCCATGATTAAAAACAATAACAGACAATTAAAAACATTTTAAAAAGTATTAGGCCAGCCCGGCTTGCTGGAAAAGGAAGGTTTTAAGGGCACGGCGGAAGGCACCGAGGTCTTGGATTCTCCTTATCTCTGGGGGCAGCTGGTTCCAGAGGGTAGGTGCCCCCACAGAGAAGGCTCTCCCCCTGGGGGTCACCAGTCTACATTGTTTGGCTGATGGCACCCCGAGGAGGCCCTCTCTGTGGGAGCGCACAGGTCGATGGGAGGCCGTCGGTAGCAGCAGGCGGTCTCAAAGATATCTAGGTCCTAAGCCATGGAGCGCTTTAAAGGTGATAACCAACACCTTGAAGCGCGCCCGGAAGACCACTGGGAGCCAGTGCAGCTCACGCAGGAGAGGTGTTGTATGGGAGCGCCATGCGGCTCCCGTGACTACCCGCGTGGCCGCATTCTGGACCAGTTGGCGCCTCCGGGTGCTCTTCAAGGGGAGCCCCATGTAGAGAGCGTTGCAGTAGTAGTAGTAGATGTTCCATCCCTGGCTGAAAGGCTTTCCAAAAGAGATTTAAAAAGCCAAAAAAAGAACCAGAAGACCTCCTTACTAGCAATCAACATCCACAAAAACAGGGATTGATACCCGGATTAATACCAGACCAACAATCAAGCCATAAATAATGTCTACTCAACGAACCACCAACTTAGACAAACAATCGAACGGTGAACAACAGGCTCATCAAGGAACCACCAAGGTTGCTCCCACCAAAGCTGGCAGGTGAAGCCACAAGTGTAGAAACAGAGAACAAACTCCATACTAACATCAAGGTTAATACTAGACCAACGATCAAGGAGTAACCAATTCCCCAATCAAGGGACTATCAACTCAGGCAAACAAGCTAACGGCAAACAGTAGCCTAATCAAGGAACCACTAAGAATCCTGACGCTACCGCTATCATCGTCATTAATATGTGAAATGAAAGCAAAAGAGAGCAAATCCCCCTCCCTTCTAGAGCTGATGATGTTCCCTAGTTGGGTAATGAAATGTCTGCAAGAAAATAACCAACCTTAGAGAGCACCAAGGACCCTAGCAGTCCTCATCCTCTTTCTTCTCTTTCCTTTACCTTTTTTCTTCCTTCCTTCCTCCTCTTTCCTTCACCTTCCTTCCTTTCCTCCTCTTTTTTCTCTTCCCTTCTCCTTTCTTTTTTCTTTCCTTCCTTTTTCAATTCCTTTCTTTCTCCTTTCTTCTTTTCTTCATCTGCCGTCTTTCCTTCTTTCCTTCCCTCCCTCCTTCTTTCCTTCCTTCCTCTCTTTTCTCCCTCCTGATCTTCCTTCCTTCCTTTCATTCTCATCTCTTTCCTTCCCTCCCTCCCTCCCTTCCTTCCTCTTTTCTCCCTCCTGACCTTCCTTCTTTCTTTCCTCTTTATCTTTCCTTCCTTCCTCTCTTTATCCTTCCTGCCTCCCTCTCTTTATCCTTCCTTCTTTCTTTCTTTCCTTCTTTCCATTCTTATCTCCTTCCTTCCTTCCTTCCCTCCTTCCTTCCTCTTTATCCTTCCTGCCTCCCTCTCTTCCTCCTTCCTTCCTTCCTTCCTTCCTTCTTTCCATTCTTATCTCCTTCCTTCCTTCCTTCTTTCCTTCCTTCCTCTCTTTATCTTTCCTGCCTCCCTCTCTTCCTCCTTCCGTCCGTCCTTCCTTCCTTCCTTCCTTCCTTCCTTCCTTCCTTCCTCTTTTTATCCTTCCTGCCTCTCTCTCTTCCTCCTTCCTTCCTTCCTTCTTTCCATTCTGATCTCTTTCCTTCCTTCCTTCCTTCCTTCCTTCCTTCTTTCCTTCCTTCCTCTCTTTATTTCCTGCCTCCCTCTCTTCCTCCTTCCGTCCTTCCTTCCTTCCTTCCTTCCTCTTTTTATCCTCCCTGACTCCCTCTCTTTCTCCTTCCTTCCTTCCTTCCTTCCTCCCTCCCTCCCTTCCTTCCCTTCCTCCTCCTTTCCACAAACCCCACTCTTTTCTATTAGTAAAGACCCATATCTTCTTAGTGACAAGGCCAGGGAGTCCTGAGCAAGGGGCTGGGGGCTGGGGGGGGCAGGTGGGGTGGAATCCGACAGTTCAGATGTAAACAAAAGCCAACCATCCTTACCGTCACGCTGTACTGGGAGACGGAGATATTGTTGGGGTGCACGGTGAGTCGGACACATTGCTTCATCTCCGAGGCAAACCTCCGGGGCTCACTGGATCGTTCGCACTGCTCCTTCCTGGTGCACCTGGAAAGCGAGGGAGATGGACACAGAAGCCAAGGACGTCAGAGGTCATCCAAAAGTTTGCACTAAGTACAGCGGTCCTCGACTTACGACTGGTTGGTTAGTGATAGATCTTCCTGGATTCAAAGTTCTGACAGCAAAGGTGGGTTTCAGCAGGTTCTGACCAGTTCTGGCGAACTGGTAGCAGAAATTTTGAGTAGTTCAGAGAACTGGTAGTAAAAATTCTGACTGGCCCCACCCCCATCTATACTCTGCCTCCCGAGTCCCAGCTATCCGGGAGGAAATGGAGATTTTGCAGTAACCTTCCCCTGGAGTGGGGTGGGAATGGAGATTTTACAGGATCCTTCCCCTGCCACGCCCAACAAGCCACGCCCAACAAGCCAAACCCACAGAACCGGTAGTAAAAAAATTTGAAACCCACCACTGAACACGATGTTTATTAAGCCCTGAGAAATGTATTTAATAGAAAATCAATTTTAATTTTTTTTTTTGAAGTTATGGAATAAAAAGTAGTCCTTTGTGGCCTCCATTGTGACTTTTTTGACTTGATGAGCCCCTCCTAAACCACCACCCCAAAATCAAAGCCACATTCCAAAATTATGCTCAACCAATAATTATTCACTCCTTGTTTTAGAGACCAAAAACAACGAATCCTTGCCCAGAACGGAGAAGGATGAAATTATGTCTTTCATCTCGTAATCACCCACCTAATGGGATGCACGGTTAATATATTAAAAAAAAAAAAAATAGTCCAGGCCACCGTGAGCTAATTATCCACCATTAAGCTAAAGCAACAGACCTTCAAAAAGATTCTTTATTATTAACAGCAACTTTGGCCCCCTGTAAAATTCACTCTGAAGCTAAAGTCAGGAAGCTAAATGATTCAAACTGCCTTTGAGGGCTTTTTTGTTTTTTTTTCAGAGTTAGAATAGAGTAAAGCTGGAAGGGACCTTGGAGGTCTTCTAGTCCAGCCCCCTGCTCAAGCAGGAGAACTTCAAGTCCCAGGATTCCTCAGCCAGTATGCTTTAAGATGGGCGGACTTCAACTCCCAGAATTCCTCAGTAGGCAAGCTGCCTGGGAGAATTCTGGGAGTTGAAGTTCACCCACTTCAAAGCAGCCATCACTTCTTCTGTGATGGGTCCAGCAGTAGGTCTGTCTGTCTGTCTGTCTGTCTGTCTGTCTGTCTGTCTGTCTATCTATCTATCTATCTATCTATCTATCTATCTATCTATCTATCTATCTATCGGTTCAATTTATATGCTGCCCTTTTCCGTAGACTCAGGGCGGCTTACAATGCGTTAAGCAATAGCCTTCATTCTTTTGTATATACCTGCTTAGTAGGGCTTTCGGGGCCCCCCCTAAGTGGTGTTCTTTTTTATACAAAGTCACCTTATTGCCCCCACAATCCGGGTCCTCATTTTACCTACCTCGAAAGGATGGAAGGCTGAGTCAACCTTTGAGCCTGGTGAGATTTGAACTTGGAGTAATTGCCGGCAGCTGGTGTTACTTAACAGTGCTTTAGTCTGCTGCGCCACCAAAGCACCAAGGTTTCACATATTCTTACCACCGCACATGCACTCGGCCTTCCGCGCATGCGCCCACCTCGAAAATGTGGTTAAATAGGACGGCCACCCGCAGTCGCCGCTACCAGTTCGCCCGAACCGGTACGAACCGGCTGACTACCACCTCTGGCCGGGTCTCTTTTCTTCAAAGATAGAAGCCAACATGCAACCGTGACCCTTTAATAAAGGAGAAAACTTACAAATATTTTAAAAGAGCAAGCAAACAAATCGATTTTGAAAACCGAGAAAACAAAAGAGTGACGAAACTCAACACCGTGTAGCTGCCGACACCTGACCAAAAGGCCGAACGAATATCGACATTTTTACTTGTTGCTGCTACGAAATCCTGTTTGGTTTCCAAGGAGACCACACAAAAAAAAAAAAGGAAAAGAAAGAAAAATAATCTTACATCTCCATACAATGTGTGATTTTCAATAGTGGGAAACAAATGAAGTTCCCGCTGAGTGATTTGATTATTCAGAGAACTGAATAATAATAATAAAAGATTGTAATAATAAGTAAGAATTACTTCCTGGCTTATGGAGACCCCCGCCTAGCATCTTTTATGCTGGGGCCATTTTGAAGCCAATTCTGAGGGAGGGCAAAAACAGAAAATAGTGCCCCTTATGGCACCCTGGTATATTTTTTTAAAAAAATAACATAATTTATATTTTCCTGGCTGTCAGAGGGAGCATAGGATTAGCTTGAGGTCCACAAAGTGATTCCTGCATTCCTTTCCCAAGTTCCACACTGCTAGTTTAGTTGCTTTATCAAATTTGGCAATTTGAAGATGCATGGACTTCAATTCCTCAGCCAAAATGCTTGAAGATAAGTGGACTTCAACTCCCAGAATTCCTCAGCCAGAATGCCTTTAAAAAGGTGGACTTCAACTCCCAGAATTCCTCAGCCAAAATGCCTTAAAACAGGTGGACTTCAACTCCCAGAATTCCTCAGCCAAAATGCCTTAAAACAGGTGGACTTCAACTCCCAGAATTCCTCAGCCAGAATGCCTTAAAACAGGTGGACTTCAACCCCATAATTCCTCAGCCAGAATGCCTTAAAACAGGTGGACTTCAACTCCCATAATTCCTCAGCCAAAATGCCTTAAAACAGGTGGACTTCAACTCCCAGAATTCCTCAGCCAGAATGCTTGAAGATGGTTGGCCTTCAACTCCCAGAATTCCTCAGCCAATGTGGACACTTGGCCACAGGCATGTATTTTTCTGCATGCAAAGGGAATGTCCATTTCTAGACTGCATTTTGTTCATGCCTCCTTCCCTAATACAGGGGTTCCCCCAACCCCTGCCTTTGGCCCACTACCAAGCTGCAGCCTATTCGGAACTGGGCCGCATGAGAGGCGGGCCACAATCCATGTGCACCTTGCGTGTGGCAGGCCAGCGCACGCACGAATGCGCCCGCAACTCCTCTTGCACTCAAGCTGCATGTGCATGCGTGTGCATGCCAATCCGCCGCTCGCGTGAGTTGAGTGGCACATGCGCGTATATGCTCTGGCCCGACATTCCTGTGGCCTGGTTTCCCTTCCCCCCCACCCCCACCCCCAGCTAGGCCACTAAGCTGCAAAGGTTGGGAGCTGCTTCCCTAACACATAAGAGATTCAGTTCCTTTGGAGGGGAGGCCACGAGGAAATCCCTGGACTATACAAGTAATCCAGAGGTGGGTTTCAGCAGGTTCTGACCAGTTCTGGCGAACTGGTAGCGGAAATTTTGAGTAGTTCGGAGAACCGGTAGTAAAAATTCTGACTGGCCCCGTCTCCATCTCTTCTCTGCCTCCCAATTCTCAGCTGATCGGGAGGGAATGGAGATTTTACAGTAACCTTCCCCTGCCACGCCCATCAAGCCACGCCCACCAAACCATACCCACAGAACCGATAATAAAAAAAATTTAAACCCACCACTGAAGTAGTCCTCTACGTACGACCACACTTGAGCCCAAATCATTAAACAAGACAGCTGTTACGTGCGTTTTGCCCCATTTTACGACCTTTCTTGTCCCGGTTGTTAAGTGAATCCACCTATCTGGTAAAGAATGCCATCAGTGAGCTGCACGAAATCAAAGACCAGCGTTTCAGTGAAGGCGAACCTTAAGAAACTGGAGCAGAGATTTGTGCAAACCCGGCTTGAGTGAGTACGCAACTGAGATTGTCGTAGCGGCAGGACGATTGCCGTGTTTTAGACAGCTGCACCACCAACCACAGTGCTGGGAGGAGAACCCTCTTTCTATCTGCAAGTCGCCAGAGACTCTGAGGGCTGAAATTCTGCCTGTTTGGCATCTGCTAAAAGAAGCCTGCCAGGTTTGAAAATAAGGGAAGCTAAGGAAAGGAAGCAAAACGCGTGGGAATTCAAGCTCCATGTTCCAGCACATGAAGCTCAGCATCCAGGCCAGTGAGTAGTAACTGTGAGAGGGATCTTGGAGTCCTAGTGGACAACCGTTTAAATAGGAGCCAGCCGTGTGCAGCAGCTGCCAAAAAAGCTAACACAGTTCTAGGCTGCATCAACAGAGGGATGGAATCAAGATCACGTGAAGTGTTAATACCACTTTACAAGGCCTTGGAAAGGCCACACTTGGAATCCTGCATCCAGTTTTGGTCTCCACGATGTGAAAAAGATGCTGAGCATGTGCAGAAGTTTCTGCCCATGCACAGATCACCCATGATGACGTCGTGGCAGGTGGGTGGACCCTCCCGCTGGTTTTACTACCGGTTCTATAGAACCGGACCGAACCAGGAGCAACCCACCACTGGTCTGTCTGTCTGTCTTCCAATATTTGAGGGGCTTCCACAAAGAAAAGGGGGTCACCTTATTCTCCAAAGCACCTGAAGGTAGGACAAGAAGTAATGGATGGAAACTAACCAAGGAGATAACATATATAGCTACCGTTACCTCTACCTCTGTCTGTCTGTCTATTTATCTGTCCGTCAGTCCGTCCATCCATCCATCCAATCTCCCTCATCCATCCATCTCTATTTATCTATCTATCTCTATCCATCCATCCAATCTCCCTCACCTATCTAGGATCCATCCATCCATCCATCCATCTATCCATCTATCTACTATCTATCTATCTATCTCTATCTATCTATCCATCCATCCATCCATCCATCCATCCACTATATATCTATTTCTTTCTATCCATCCATCCATCCACTCATCCATCCACCCATCCATCCATCCAATCTCCCTCATCCATCCATCCATCTCTATCTATCTCTATCCATCCATCCAATCTCCCTCATCTATCTAGGATCCATCCATCCATCCATCCATCTATCTATCTACTATCTATCTATCTCTATCTATCCATCCATCCAATCTCTCTCATCCATCCATCCATCTCTATCTATCTATCTCTATCCATCCATCCAATCTCCCTCATCTATCTAGGATCCATCCATCCATCCATCCATCCATCTATCTATCTACT